ACGTTTATTGTGTTTTTAATTACTGCCTATTGAGTTTATAATACACCACAAAGAGGACATGGAAAAAACAGGTTAGGGGCCCAGCAGATTTCAGCGACTGGTGTTCAACGGAGAAGAAGAACAATACGAATTATGGGAAGCCAAATTCTTAGGCTACATGAACACATTGAAGCCGCCGTTGAAAACAACGATCACATCCCCACAACCGGAACCGGCTACACCAGAGGACACTGCCGTAAATGAGAAAGCGTTTTCCGAACTGATTCATTTCCTGGATGACAAGTCATTGTCACTAGTAATAAATGAAGCCAAGGATAACGGTAGGAATGCTCTATGCAAAAGAAATGAGTATGCAAGTAAATCTAAGCCTAAAGTTGTACAGCTATACTGATCTCACAACCCTGGAAATGGCAGATGATGATTTTACAACATACATCAGTAGAGCAGAAACGATAATTACTTCCTTGCAGAGAGCAAAAGAAAAGCCCAGTGAAGCACTCTTGATCGCGACGGTCATGAAGGGGTTACCAGACGCTTATATACCATTTAAGATATTTGTAAACACCCAAGAAAAGGAAATGTCATTCTCTGAATTCAAATCAGCTTTGAGAAAGTTTGCAGAGTCAGAGAAACTAAACCATCCAAAATCCAATGACCGGGTAATGAAAGTAGGAACATTCAGTCCGAGAAGTTGTTATGAGTGTGGTTCCCTTAATCACCTAGTGAAGGATTGCACTAGAGTAAAATGCAAATACCACAAAAAGGGAAATCACCTAGACAAAGATTGCTTCAGACACAAGCCTAATGACAAAATTAAGAAAGCAGAGGATGGCACCGAAGAAGTTGAACACTCGTTTTTCTTCCAAGCATCAGAAAGCGCTATTCAACTCGAAGGTATTCTTGTTGACACAGGTTGTACTTCAAATGTTGTTACTGATGAAGACAAATTCTTAAGCTTTGATCAGAATTTTGAAAGTATCACTCACAGTATTGAACTAGCGGACGGTAATAGAACAAATGGTGTTGCAGTGAAGAGAGGAAATGCACGCATAATACTATTGGATGAAGATAACAAGGAAGTGGAAACGGTGTTGAAGAGTGCCCTGTATATACAAACCTATCCACACGACATTATGAGCGTAAGAGCAGCGACGAGATCTGGTGCAACAGTGATATTCAGTGAAGATGAAAACACCATCACAAAAGCAGGAAAAAGGTTTCAGAGGAGAATTATTACTTACCAACTACTGTCTATACTGCCAATAATGAAATGGATAAAAAGTAAGTCTTGTTAAAAATCTGAATTATTGGCATAGAGTTCTTGGGCGTTGTAATTTTGAAGATGTTAGAAAATTAGAAAATGTAGTAAATGGCATGGAAATCAATAATGGTCATTGCAACAAAACATGTGACACATGCATTGAAGGGAAATTTGTTAATACAAGGAGGAGGGAGGCTGATGCAAAGGCTAACAGCCCATTAAAACTAATACACTCAGATCTTGCAGGTCCAATATCCCCAACAGCCAAAGAAAACTTTAACTATGCAATCTCCTTCACTGATGACTCTTCTGGCTTTACCTTTGTTTATTTTTTTAGATCTAAAAGTGATGCTGCAACAGCTGCTAAACAGTTTTTAGCAGATTGTGGCCCGATAGGTAAGGTGAAACGTATGAGAACAGACAATGGCGGGGAGTACATTAGCCAAGCCTTCAAAACACTAATGAGGGATCAATGTATCAAACATGAATTTTCATCACCAAACTCACCCCATCAAAATGAGACATCTAAGCGCAATTGGCGCACGCTTTTCGAAATGGGTAGATGCCTCTTGTTGGAATCTTCTTTGCCTAAACACCTATGGACCTATGCAGTAAAAGCTGCAGCCTATATCAGGAACCGATGTTATTCACAACGATTAAACAAAACCCCATTTGAAGCTATTACAGGAAGCAAACCAAATTTGGCTAAAATGCATGTTTTTGGAACTGCATGTTATGGCTACTTACATGAATCAAAGAAATTAGACCCTAAATGCAAACGTGGTGTGTTTTTGGGATATGATTCTTACAGCCCAGCCTATTTGGTATATGATCCAAACAATAGGAGAGTCCAGAAGTTTAGATTGATAAAAATTACTTCTATCCCTACACAAAGCCAATTAACAGATCAGCACACACAGACAGATGAAGGTGATGAAACAGTTTGTGAAAGTTTAGAAAATGGTGAAAGTAAAGAGGAACCCATAACAGATGAAAACCCCCCAAACATAAATGGTGATTTAGAGGAACCAAAAATGATTGAAAGTGCAGTAGAAAATGAAACACCCAAAATTAAAGACAATGATAACTTTGAGAACAGAAATGAAAATAAAGGAAATGATAACTCTGAAATTGACAGAAGATACCCCAGCGGAACCGAAAGTACCCCAACTACTTAAAAGATTGTGAAATGGGACTAAACAGTGATGATGGTTCAGTCTATAAAGTTTCATGTCAAACCATACCTTTAACTTACAATGAGGCTGTCCACTCCCAAAACTCAGATAGGTGGAAAAAGGCAATGGATAATGAAATAATGTCATTTAAAGATAACAACACATTCGAAGTAGTCAGATTACCAGAGGGTAAAAATTTAGTGGGGGATAAGTGGTATTCGCCATTAAGGAATTGGCTGAAGGTAACCAGACATACAAAGCAAGATATGTTGCAAAAGGATTTAGTCAAATAGAAGGTATTGATTACCATGACACATTCTCACCTACAGCCAATATGTCCTCCATTAGAATATTGATGCAAGTTGCTGCACAGCAAAACCTCACTGTACACCAAATTGATGTAAAATCAGCATACCTAAATGCGTATATTGATACTGAAATCTACCTAAAACAGCCAGAGGGGTATGAAATTAAATCGGAAAATGGTGATGATTTAGTCTTTAAATTGAAAAAGTCCATATACGGTCTTAAACAGTATGGTAGAAATTGGAACCTCTTGTTGCACAGTCACTTGGAGAGTAATGGGTTCAAAAGAAATCCAGTAGATCACTGTGTATATGTTAAGAAAAATGAGGGTAATTTGATGATTGTTATAATATGGGTTGATGACATATTGGTTGTAGCTAGTAATGAGAACATTCTACATGAATTTGATTTGAAACAAGTATGGAAAAACAGTTCAAAATGAAAGACCTTGGTGTAATCCGTTTCTTTTTAGGAATTGATTTTGAACATGTAGATGGTAAAATATCAATGAACCAATCACGCTACACTCAGAAAATGCTTGAGAAATTCTCTATGTCAGACTGCAAAGCCAGGTCAACACCATGTGAAATAAAATTGGGTAATGTAATTAGTAGTGAAAAAGGTAGATTTTAATAGGTATAGAGAATTAGTTGGAAATCTGATTTATCTTGCAACATATAGACCAGATATTTCATGGGTTGTCAGCAAACTATCCAAAAATTTATCTGAACCAAAAATAGAGGATTTGGTCACAGCAAAACATGTTCTAAGGTATTTGAAGGGTATTATCAATCATAAACTGACTTACACTAGAAATGTGACTCATCCTATGAAACTAATAGCATATTGTGACTCTGACTGGGCCAGCTCTGAGGATAGAAAAAGTACAACTGGCTACAGCTTTAGCTTAAATGAAAATAGTGCTCCGATATCATGGAAAACCAAGAGACAACCCATTGTAGCATTATCAACTTGTGAATCTGAGTATATGGATCTAAGTGCTACAACACAAGAGGCACTTTACTTACTATAGTTTCTAAATGGTATCATATATTTTTAATGTGCTCACATTCATTGTGACAATCAAGGGGCCATAGCCTTATGTAAAAACTCTGTTCAAAGGCAAAGGTCTAAGCACATCGACATAAAACACCATTTCATAAGGGAAGCCCTAATTGAGGGGAAAATAGAGCTTAAGTTCTGCCCAACAGACGATATGGTGGCTGACATTTTGACTAAAGCAGCTACAAAATTTAAGATTCAGAAATTTAGATTTCTGTTTGGCGAGTAGTCAGTTGGTGCAGTATGTTTTATAAATGCAGTAGTTTTTGAAGTTTTTGGGTTAAATTGTGTTAAATTTTTGTTTGATAATATGACGTGAAGTGGGGGTGTTGGTGTGTCCCCTCATTTTGTGTGTACCGCCCTTCTATGTGTATGGGATGTAACTACTCCATGACCACGAGAACCAGGAAAGAAATAAAAGTCCGGAGTTCAATCACCGTTAATTGTGTTTTAATTACTGCCTATTGAGTTTATAATACACCGCAAAGAGGAAATGGAAACAAGAGCTGGTATTCCATTTTTGTGCTCTGGAATCCGCTGTTTTGCAGAGCTTGTTCGTAGTCAGGGGCGGCCTGATGAAATGATTCACTGGAATCCGATATACTGGATATGCGTCTGTTAATGGATGCGGGAATTGGTTTCAGGATAGATGGGGGATGGTTGGATTTGGTGTTGACGTAGAGTAGTTGGTTGTTTGGTTTGCTGTAAGGCTTTAAGGACCCGTTTTTTAGGCTGAGTGTGACATCAAGGAAGTTGGTGGTGTGGATGTTCCCCTGTATGGTGATACGGAGGTCGAATGCGTGGAAGATGGATATAATATTTTTCTTCATTTTGTCGCATTGCCTTGGTGATAAACTGTTCTTGACGGCGAGGCCATCATCTCGGTAGAGACCGACGTTGGTTTTGCCGAGTATTGCGATAAGGGAGGAGAGGACGCATATTTCGGCCCCGTCGAAGCTTCCCATAGTAACGTCAAACATGTCATCCGAGTTTTTCTTGATCCATGTTGAATTGTTACCAAACAATATTGATTTTCGTGGGTGCTTGATGATATCTGCTTCGTGTTCGGAATATGCAAGGGTTATTATATCCTTTATCTGCATTTGTAGAGTTTTTAGGTTTTGGCTTTCAAGCATTGAATTACAGTCACTCTATGTGCAGTCGTAAATAACACGCATAACAGTGTATAATTTTAGTTTGTCTTATTTTATTCTAAAGATCATCAATTATAGATTATTTAAAGTTTAAATGAAACAGAACAGAACTGGGCGACTGTACTCCTAATACACTATCTGTAATTCTTGTTCGTCTTGTTTATTTAGTTTCTTAATAAATGTTTCTTATAAAGTAAACATAAAATACTGTGTTGAACACAATGATATACATGCATTTAAAATTCAACCAAACAGATAAAATGACTGCAACTATGAATATAACAAGAGGACACATTGAACAGAATCGTCTAAAGCATGCACATTGTTATCATTTTAGTACAGAGGTCTGAATGTTTATTATTATGTTGTGCTGATCGAAATAGACAAATATTACTTCAACCTAGTCTTAACTGAACGATTCTGTCGATGAGAGAGAACGTTAAAACACGGGCAGTTAACATAATATGACGTCATTACGTTTTACTTTCTAAAGCCGGACACTTACTGAACCCGACAGTCCTCGACCGATGTTTCTATGGAGAAAAAAACGCCACGACTCGCTATGTCCAATAGTATAAGTAAAACGAGTACAGAAAATGATTGTTAAAAAAACTCAATTGGCCACAAGGACCAACATTTACATATTATAATAAACTGTTTTGCATAATAATAATAATAATAATAATAATAATAATAAAATGTTATTTAATATGTAAAAATCTATACAAATCTTAAAACGCAATACCTTTGCTAAAACCATCCATGTATTTTCTGCTACAAGGAGTATTAATCTATAAAGTATAATGTTGGCAAAACAATACAAGACATTTCGTGTTCTTCAGTCTTTAACAATAATGTCTGACACGATGAAAGTTACCGTTCCTTACGGTAGAGCACAGGGACAGTATACAGCAACTAAATAGAATAAAACAAGTTATAAATTATTTTAATAATATTAAACATTTTTATTCAAATAATGAAGTAATGAAACAGAAATAACGTATAATATTAAACACAAATTTAATCGATTCAACACTACAATAATAATAATAATAATAATAATAATATTAATAATATAATTGCATGTTTGATTATACAGCAATTCTGAGATTGTTAGTGGGTGCACCCTAGATCAATTCTCAAGAATAGGCACATTCGAGTTATAGCAGGTGAAATAATATACACTTTGTTTAGTAATAAATGATAGTATAAACACCTTAACTGGTGATAAATAAAATGTGATTAGAAATCCATGTGATATTTAAAAAAATATAAATTAATGTATATTACAAAATAACTTTAAAAATGGTCTCGTAATTTAGTTGGTAGATTATCAAAATGGTGATCGAGTAAATCAGATCTCGATGGAAACGAGACACAACAGGTTTTTTTTCTCAAACATTCTTTCTTTAATTTTAGTTCGTTTATTGAGTGAAAGGACTATAATTTTTTACTTCTTACATTCAATTCATAAAATACCAAATTCACCAAGGAGATAATTTTTTTTTTCAAAGAAATATGATGTAGTTTGTCAATATAAATGAAAAAAAAATACAGAGGATGACTTAGCACATGACGTTGTGAAGACTTGCATAGCGATAAATAACTTACTTCTGTTGCAGGTTGGCCCCACAAAACCATAAGGACACTGACAGACACTAGTAGAATCATTGTTGACTTTACACGTTCCCCCATTCAAGCAATCTTTGTCACAGAAACCTACAAAATATTCCGAAAAAATAATGATTTAACTAACGATCTTCAGATTCTTCAGAGGAAAGCATTACGTACTTGTGATGTTGTTTGAACCACAGTTATTAATAAAGATCACCAATAACAACAGTTGCAGTACATGTGTCTTTATTCGCCATTTTCTCCAACTACTGTCCTATACACATGCGCACAACATCTTGCACAAGCGTTGCCAGAATGCACATTACAAGTTACCCAATTTGTAGATAGAGGATACTACATCTCCCTCCTATTAGATTTAAAGTGTTAACTATTACAAAAAGATGAATTATTGTTTCAACATTATTAAGACAACTGCGAACACAATATAACACAAGAAGTTACTAAAAACATTTTCAACTTTAACAGTAATGCACAGCATTACTCTTCGATCAGCCTCTGGGGGCGTCTTGCTTGCCTGCAAGATTCACGTGTTTGTTGGCGGGCTGAGACTTGCCCATCTATGATAATATTATCATTACGAACTTCCCTAGGGTTTATGTGTGCCCTATTTTAAAGTGTGACCAATTCCTTGTAATTGTATGACCATTTGGGTGTTTAGCTGTAATCATATCGTGGTTCCTATTTACAACAATTAAGGGGGTCCTGGAGAAGGGTGTGGTGAACTTATCCCCTTTTTCTTGCTTCACCAAAATTACATCCCCTATTACAATTTTGTATGCAACGGCGTTTCTCTGCATTCTGTTTCATCTTAATTTTGTTCTGATTAACTTTTTGTCTTATTGACTCATCACCTTACTCCCTTCTAGAGGATGGAAACCTAATGTTAAGATCCATGCCAAAGAGGGCATGTGCTGGTGTGACGCCTGTTGTAGAGTGTGGGGTTGCCCGATAATTTCTTAAAAATGCATACATATCCTGTTTCCAGTGGTCAGAAGTATATAGTACCTTTTTGAACGTACGCATAAAGCGCTCAACTTCACCATTGGCCTCAGGCCACAATGGTGTGACTTTCCTGTGATGAAAACCAAGATATTTAGAAAATTTATTAAATGCTTCACTGTTGAAAGGAGGGCCATTATCTGACCGGACAACCTTAGGAATCCCTAGCATGCTGAAAATTTTGTCAAGTTTTGGGATTACAGCATTTGCTGAGGTTGACGCTAGCAATTCGACAACAGGAAACCGTGAGTAATCATCAATGATAACCATCAAATATTCATTTTTAACATGACAAAAGTCAATACTGACATTTTCCCATCTAGCTTGTGGTAACTCTGACATTTTAAGCGGGGTCCTTACTGACTGAGGGGTTGCAGCCTGACACTGGATGCACTGTTTTACAACTGTATCACATAATGTGTCTAACTTAGGGAACCAGACCTTGGTACGCAATAGGCTTTTGGTTTTGGCTATCCCCTGGTGGCCTTCGTGGGCCAGGTCAACAATCTTGCGTCTTAAACTACGGGGAACAATGATATTTTTAACTCTTAACAATATCTTGCCATCGTCTGAGCAACTTATGTCATCTTTCGCATTCATATATGACCGAAGGTCATCTAGGTCAACATCGGTTAGGTCTTCGGGCGTTAACTGTGCCATATCCCAATTACCAGTAGACATAAATTTCAAAATACACTGAATTGTCTGATCTGATTGAGTTGCTAATTGAATATCAGCAATAGACATTGCATTAGGTTTAGCATGTTCAATACACATGTTAATATATGCTGTTGCACTATCAGAAATACAGTTGTTAACTACATTACACTTACTTAATGTGTATCGTGCAATATAGTCAGCAGGGTTAGCTGAACCTCTCTGAAATCATACCTCAAATTGGAACATCTGTAGTATTAATATCCAATTTTCGATTCGAAGTGAGGGTTTAGACCGTGGGTTATTGAAAAGTGAAAGTAGAGGTTTGTGGTCGGTAAAGACCTTAAAGGGTTTGCCTACTAAGAAGAGCCGAAAGTAGTTGCACGCCCATGCAATAGTTAGGGCTTCCCTTTCAATTTGGGAGTATCTTTTCTCAGTGGCTGTTAGTGACATATTACCACAAAAAACAACTTTGTTGTTTTGCATTAAGATTCCAGCCAAACCTACTGGACTGGCATCTACATAAAGCTCTGTGGCTTGTGTAGGATCAAAATATGCCATGACATAATCGGAATTCAGCTTACCTTTAAGCATGTCGAGAGCAGTGCTTTGCGCCTCTCCCCATTCAAATTTGCTGTCGCTTCGGAGCAATTCACGCATTGGCGCAGTTATTGTTGCGTAGTTGGGTATGAACCTGCTTAGGAAATTAACCATACCAAAAAGGGAGCGCAACTCTGCTACAGACTCGGGCGCTTTTAGAGCCTTAATTGAAGTTACCTTTTTTGGGTCAGGGGAAATCCATCTTTGGAAAACACCATACCAAGGAATGTAATACTGGATTTGTAAAATTCACATTTATCTTTGTTAACTGTGACATTAGATTCTCTCAGACATTTGAACACATCATTTAATGCTTTATCATGCTCACTAGTGTCTTTACCAAATATTATAATGTCATCACTTATGTTAATTTGGTTCAGTATGCCACTAAGCATATTCTTGACCTTTTTATTAAAAATTTGATGGGCTGCATTGACTCCATAAAACAGACGCTTATATCGAAAAATGCCTTTGTCTGGAAAATGTACTAATATTTCGTGAATCGGGATGCAAAAGTAGCTGTTGGTATCCCTTATTCATATCAATTTTGCTGAAAACTGTGGCGCCTGTCAATTTGCAAATAATGTCGTCCAGTGTAGGTGTTAGGTGCCGTTCGCGTCCAATGGCTTTGTTAGCATCCCGCATGTCCACGACCATTCCAGTTTTATTATTACTCTTGGGAACCAGAACTATAGGATTGATCTATGTGTGCGGTCCAGGTGGAGGTTCAATGACACCATCTTTCAGCATTTGATCTATGCATTGTTCAACTATGGGTCTTTGGTGAAATGGTATGCGTCGGTGGACTTGGTTGACAGGTTGAACTGTAGGATCGATGTGCAACTTGACTGTGCCATTTTTCATCTGGCCAAGCCCTTTTAAACACGTCAGTGTATTTCTCAGCAATATCTGTCATGGGCTGTTGTGGAATATTACACGTGATATTGACAATTCCAAGCTCCACCCCTGTGGTATATCCGTTGATGGGAACTGGACCACTCCGCACAACGAGAAAATCTGCAACGACAAACTTGTTGCTTGACTCCACCACTGCGCTAAATTTACCAATGGGTGTGTATGCGGCGTACGGATATATTTTCGTGTTTGTTTTGCGAATGTCAACTGCAAGTTTTGTTGCTACATCTTGGGGTATAATGTTAACTGTTGATCCACTGTCAATAAGCAATTTTAATTCAACTTTAATGTTGCTGTCGGTAGCTTGCGTTTGTTTATCATTGTATTCTTTAACGAGAATGAATATTCGTCCTCTGACGACTCAATTTTCGGAGCATCCGTGTTTATAGCACTTACTGCTTTCTTATGTGTAGCAGATCTACGTGGCTTTGATGATGAATGATCGCTACGTGTTCGACACACACGCAAAGTGATTGGGTTTCTGCCATGAGCTACAAAATTTCCCCATGGCTGGGCAGGGACCAGCGTGTGGATAGTTTCCACCACATCTATAACAGGTATTGTGAGTTTTAGTTGCCTTATTAGGGTAGCTAGGCCTGTGCCTAGGGCTAGGCTTACCTCCTCGTGGCCTCTGGCTCTGCTTGGTTGTTGTGGAATGATTCACATCATCATACCGAATATGGGTATTATTTCCCTTGCTCTCAATTTCAGTCGCCTGTTTATTTGACGCTTCCAATGTTCTACCAAACTCTAATATTTTTCGTAGCGTTAGCGTTGGATCTCTCAGAGCACCACGTCTTAATTTAGGCGAGCAACAATGCGATATTACTTGCATCTTGATTTCGCCATCCACATCCGCGAACGAACATGGTTTCGCCGCCTGACGTAAACGCGTCACATAGGCATAGATTGACTCGGCAGTACTTTGTTTTATCTGACGAAAGGTGTTTACGGCAAACGGGATACTTTGCTGGGGTTCCAAGTACTTATGTATTGCCTGCTTGGCTTCGTCATAGGTATTACCTGTATTTTCAAGCGTGTTGAAAATATCATACACTCTTTCACCTGAATAGTGGAGCAGTAGTGCACGTTTCCGTTTATCATCCTTGATATTCATGGCTGTGAAAAAATTCTCGAGCCGTCCAGCATATTTTCAAAATCTTGGGCATCATCACCCGAATTTTTTATTTTAAATGTAGGAAAGGTTGCCAATGTGTGTTCCATCTTTCACGATCCTAGCCTCGTCGCCAATGTGATGTTGTTTGAACCACAGTTATTAATAAAGACCACCAATAACAACAGTTGCAGTACATGTGTCTTTATTCGACTACTGTCCTATACACATGCGCACAACATCTTGCACAAGCGTTGCCAGAATGCTCATTACAAGTTACCCAATTTGTAGATAGAGGGTAACTACAGTACTTGCGATTGTTTTTTTCTTTTATTCTGACAGCCTGAGCACCTACTAAACATGTTAGTATCCCTAGATAGTGAAAATGAAAATTACACATAGGACAGAAGTCATTGTAAAATGTTTATTAAAATTCCAAACTTTGTCGATTATTAAAATGCATGGTTGTTAGTCCTTTGAATATTTAACTAGAAATAAGAAAAGACACTAGACCACTAAACAGTAAACACACTGGTCATAAACTACTATTTAACTCACTTCGCGATCAAGATTAGGCCTCTAAATCGTGTTTTTTCTTTTTCTTTTAAGTTTTTAAAACTTTTTATATACATTATAATGTTTTACTTTGTACTTTAATATAAAAACTATCTGCCCAATTTTATTACTTATTGTTTTATAATTGTTTCGTTCAATGGATTGTTCCTTTCGAATTACATACCTATACATAAATGCTGTCAATGAAATCAAAACTTTAGATGAAAGTTAAATTTGCATAATATGAACGTACTTTGACAGACTGGTGGGTTGTTGGACCAAATCCCGTTTGCTTCGCACACGATGCGGTCACTTCCAAGAAGATCAAATCCATGGTCACAGGAGAATATCAGATGACTTCCTTCAACATTCAAAGCACCATTCTTGGTGCCATTAATGGGCGCAGAAACAAAAGGACACGCTACAACTATGTGCCAAAAAATGTAATTTTAAATCATTATGTGCTAATGTATTTGGTATTAAACATTCTGAAAACATATTACATAGCCACGTTGTTTAAAAAATTGTTTTTAGATAGATAATAAATTACTAATAATAAATAATTGAGCTGTAAAAAAAACTTAAGCAATTTCCCTAAAAAGTCTAAATAACGTCATTATCATTGTCGTTTATTTGAACTTCATCAGAAACCAATTTAGAGCTATCCATATAACATTATTGACTACCATTGTATTTTATGTGTTCAACGGCATCGGTTAAAGTGTGTGGTAAAATGATTGGTATAAGAACTGATATTTAAAAAAAAAGATTAGTTTAGATAATAACGAGTAGCTATATTACGTCTATTTGATTGTTATATAATTATTAAATTATTTAGCATTAGCATCTTCCATGGAAATAAACAGAAGAAGTATATTGTCTTTCGTATGAGCCTCTAAGCATAATATTAACCAGACGGATTGAGATGCTAAAACCAACCTAATATAAAGTCAAACAATCATCTTACTATGGTTTAAACTATGATTAAATTATTGACTCGTAAGCCGTTTATCCAGAAACTTACCTGGTGCACATGAATCAACGACATCAACCAGTTCATCGACGCTTGTTCGTGTACCCTTAGCAATAGCTGGATTTTCAGTGACCTGATAGTCAAAAATACACTCAAAGATATCACCACAAACCAGTTGAACTTCGTCAACATTGACGTTGTTTGGAGGGTCAAATATCGGTATAAATGTAGAATCACTGTAATCGTTGTTGTCTTTTCCAGGCTCATAGTAAAATAAGGAATTTTCTGGATCAATTCGCCCTAGAGAAATAAATGAAATTCAGACTTAATTATGTATTTGTAGGAACAATTATTATATTATTAATAGAAAGATGTACCACCAAACGATTTGACAAAAAGGATTCTTAGAAATTAAGAAAAAAAATAATAATTATAGGTAATTAAAATAATTTACGAGTGTAGCAATTTTATTTCGTTTGGATGTACTGGTCTTTGATCTTACATAATTCTCCAAAGTTGAAGTGTATCTCCGGTAGAGTTGCATTTCTGTGAAGTGTAAATCCATTAGGTGTCAAAAAATCATCGTTCCAATCGTCATTCCACGTTCCTAAGAGGCCTCTTGTGTTGCCTTTCATCGTTTCAGAACCCAAAAATATTATAGACATTACGTCATTGGCCTCTCCAATGGTGAATGCAATGCCAGCATCGAACACAACGGTTATACGGACTCCTCCGGTGCCTTTTGGTTTATATACTGACATTCCTGAGCATGAAAATAAACCTTATTAGAATATTAATTGTGTATGAAATTTGTGAGACTGCATTGTGTTTATAATTATGGACTTTGTGAGATTAACTGTTTGGTACATCGTCGTGCATTTGTTTAAACATGAATATTGAAACATTGTACATAAATAACAGTTAACTAGAATTTTATTAAAAGAAAAGAATGTAGCAGTGTGTATCGATTTTGTATTAGTCTAGAAATACACTTTATTCCAGTGTTTGAATAACATAAGGATAAAATAATATTTAAATACTAGCCTATTCTTTTCTTATAGCGTTGGTACCACTCAAAATCCACAGAAAAATCGCATGTCATTAATTAAGAGATCTACTTTAATATTTCCTACCGTTAAAATCCCAAAAGTCTGAAAGATCACATTCAAAGTCGATCAATTGCCATCCTCTCTCGGATTTAATTCTAACGTCAAGTCCTCGACGTTCACTTAGGCCAATGTGAACACTATCAGTTCCATTAAATTCTGCAGCTATTGCGGTGAAACGAGATGCATATGTTCCTATTGTATAAAAGTAAAGTATAAAAGTGCTGTAGATAAGTATATATTATTTAAAGTATAATCGCACTTTTCTAAATGGCAGTGTAGGAGATATAGTTACTTAAAGAAACCATGTCTCCAATATCCATTTAATGTCTTCTAATTTTCAGCGCCTAAAATAACAATACAATAAGTAAATAGACCCTGCTCACAATATTATATTGGTCACTCACGAATGAGAAATTATGAATATTTCTGTTAATGTCTTTTGCATTATTTCTCCCATCTACTTTTATCAAATTCCATCAAAAACTATGATCTATAAAGCATCTTGTAATTGTTATTGCCGTTTTCCCACTAGGCGAATTTATTCGAGCGAATCACAAGTGTTTACCTATATGGATGCGCAATTGGGAGTCTCGTGATGAAAATTAAACTGCACATGCGTATGATTTAAAATGTTCGATTCTCGGCCTTTATATATTCAAAGTACTTTCCGGAGTGTCAATCAAACTTAGCAACTAACCAATCAGAACAGCGCCAAAAATATGCGCGTGTTTAACATTAACAAGCCAGCACACATGTTTTCGCACAAACGCACGTGTTCACTTACGTTTTAACACTATCATTTCGTAAGTTCTTAGCAACCGTACCCAAAGGCGGGGCTTAGCGGAAAGCCTATGAGCACCACCAGTTTTTCCAAGATACGAATCTACAATATTGCGTAAAATCCCCTTTTAGTGTACTCTATTGTAATGTATGTCTAACCCATGAAGCACTTTCCATTGCATACATTTCTTCACAAAATGTCTATTATGGATTACGCATGCAGCGTCATGGTATATTCCTCTCGTGGCTTGAATACACTTCCCCTCAACTTTGGTATTTTAGTTTTACACATTCTACTTATTTTTTTCATTCTTGAGCAACACAAAATCACCCTATCGGTGTTTTTTTTTTTCGAAGCTTCTTAAAATAATTCAATTATGACATCCACTCACTCTTTTCTTGCTATGTCTTTCGCCGAATTGTTCTTCTTTTCGTAATTTATGGCAAAAAAGTTTTCCTTCTCATTCCTACTAGTAGGCTATATACTATTTATAATCATAATAATATAATCTTTAAAAAAGCGAACGTTAGTTCCTTATTAAACACATATATGCAGTCTTTGGAATTTCTTTTGTACATTTTCTATTAATATTGTAAGCATCATAACATTAGATTTTCTCACTAAAAATGGCATTTCTTACTGAAATGATATTTTTTAGATTAATTGTGTTTTACCTGATATTGATTGATGATATTTTGTCAAATTTAGCGTTTGTAGACACAATTTCGAACGTGTTACAGGCATATCACACCTCTAATATAATAATAAAATTATTAATGGTTCCATGGATTCATGGATTATATAGCACTTTACACTAAATTCTCAAAGCGCTCGAAGCGTGGGCTAGGAACTCAATCACGTAAAGGCTCACGAAACCATTGTTACCTTTTTTTGTGTTTCTAAACCAGCAGTTAGCTTTTTTTACAAAAATACACACTTTCAGAAATAAACACGTGATTGCTATCATGGCGCTTACCAGTAATAGGTTCTGTCCGACTTTGCATAACGAACCGTCCGTTAAGTGCTTCAACCAAGGTGTATTCGCCGTGCCCGTTAAACGTGTAAGAGATGCCGTCGAGTGTGCGTATATGTGGATCACCATTACCACCACCTCAAGTAAATACACAAAGGTATGAAATAAAAAATGTTTTTTTTCCATAACAAGTATGCAATGTAAATAATGTGTACAATTAATTATATTAAATATTATTGTGCGTTATATTTATACATTGAATATGTCTCAACACATTTTTTTACAATATTTGAAACTTTATATCATATATTTTTGTTTAACATTGTGAAAATAAGGGAAGATTAAATACATTTATTTTCAATAGTATTTATTCATTTATTTTCTAACCATAGATCAATAACAAGCAATCACGTTGCATACAACTAGCTTACCTATTCGCGGTGGCACATAACCTGTGCAGTCATCCGAAGGGCGCCTAATTTTAAAACTTGTACAATATTCTTGTTGCGAATAAAAGCAGGAATATCGATATGGTAGAATATCAGCTGCAAAGTGGGACAAGTAAGGCACTTGCCCAGATACTCCGTGTGGGGTCATGGCTTTGTAATGGCGGCGATGAGAAAAGCCAGCATACATGTAATCTTGTATGTTGAGTAGTTCACCAGCAGGTCCGTAACAACATTCTAATCCACTACCTGACTCACTGCGGGGTAAACGTATACTAACGACTAGTATGACTATCTATAACAATTTACCGATTTAAAGCTTGGTTTCCATAAAAATCGGTACACACTGTTGCCGACTCCTGATTGGTCAGTTGAATCATGGAGCCTTTTCGATTGCGTCGGGGACAGGAACGCAGTGCAAGAATTGCAGTAAAAACGCTGTTGTGACTGTGTAGCGAGTCTATGGAAACCAGGGTTTTAAATGTAAAAAAGGTAAATGTAGTTTCAGTGCATTACTGAACGTAAATGAATTAGCTTTGAGCCCATTGAACTAAGCCTCGACGGGTGGAATGGTGGCCAGTTTCTGTCCACAACTTCCCCAGTTATGAATTTCCTAGTCCAAGCACAAGCAAATGCAAATGCACATCAAAGGTTCGAACCCCCGACATCAAGGTTGAGAGGCGGAGAAACGTAACCGCTGAGCATCTGCGTCTCTAGTAAATGTGCATTCATATCGGATCCACAACAAAATTCGGACAGTGTTTCCGATGCGCTCCGTATAATTTCGCAAAGACAACCGCCATCATAAATGACGACAACCACCCACTCTACACGGAATACAATTATTTAAGATCTAGACGGCGCCTTAGAAACTCAATGTGTAGAAGATTGTTCAACTCATTTTGCTTTATGTTTGATTAACAAGAGCAATTGTGTTGCATGGTAATTTCCGAAAGGACAAATAAAATACGATTCTGATTCTGATCTGTATACATCAAATTGTTTTCTCTCTCTGACGCACCTTGGCCCTGTTAGCGCTACCTCTGCAATAAATAACAATAATGAATGACAACGAGATGTTACAAACCTTGGTGTATTTGCTCGAACGCATTGTGGAATGTAATCGAGCGCTTCACAACCGTAAACATAATTGCTTGGAAGATCACAGGCCGAGTGTAAGGTGTATCGACTTATGTCGGCTAACGCCTGCTGCAAGGTACAGGGGCATGATCGTGTATCACCGAGGAAGTTGCCAAGGCTGTCGTCCAGTAATCCCCACTCATAACACCAAGTATCGAAAGAGAAACTATTCTGAGCTTCATGCAGCCAGCCTAGATCAAAAACGTCACTCCAAACACCGGGTACATACCTTTCAGAACACAATAAGTATAAGTGCTCATTAACAGAACATAATCAGTGGCGGTCAGTGGGGAGGGGGAATGAGGGCCCGTGTCTCCCCCAACCCCAGTCAGTCAAGCCTAAAAAAATTAAAAAGAGGGAGAAAAATTTGAATTAAAAAGATGAAAAAGGAAAAAAGGAATGTACCCATGAGTTCATTGGTGATCCAGCAGTGGGGTGAAAGGAGAGTTCGATTATTTGCCACTTATTTACACCAACCACGGTGGGGCTGAGGTAGGCGTGGCGGCGAGAACATCATATTGTGCCCCGCCCCCTGTCAGACATTCTCTGGATCTGCCCCTGCTAATACAACAATCTTCTATTTATTGAAAACAAATATATGTTTACCTAATAAAAAAAAGAAATTAACAAAATATATTACCAATTTTTAGAATTGTCAGCAAAACAATTCTTATTTAATCTCAGAGAATTTCATCTGGTTCCTAAATATTGTAAGAAGTTAATTTGCGTAACTAGTTATAGAAAAATCTCTTGCCTAATCATGACTAAAGGCATGCTGGTATACTCTACATAATATATTACAAAACCTGTAGGCACTGCCCTACTCAAGGCATTTGACAGCAGCCGTGGCCCACGGCAGCTTTGCTGCCGGGGTAGTTGCTGTTAGTAGTAATAGTAACTGTTAACTACTTACTGCTTTAGTCACTTTCTTCGGGCAAAAACAGATAATTTTCATACTAAACTCTTACCTGCTTAGTCTCTATATTAGTGAAATACCGTATTTATTTTAAACCAAACAACATGTTGTGTATAATTCAGCTCACGTCAGAGAATAAAAAATCGAAAGATGTATTTGCAACGAACTACGGTACTTTTAATTTCAATGTCATGGATGAATAAAGTTGAACCGTAACTTACCTTATATAATATATGCTACACATGCTATGTTATAAATAAGTTTTAATAACCACAATTTTATATTTCAATTCCATGTTAACTGGAATTTTATTTTATGATAATAAAGTACTATATTACCTAGTATTATTTTTACATTACATAATTGTTATTCTAATACTTACAAGACACCATTGCTGTCCCACTTTGAAACCCGTATAATACCAATGTTATCGTTAAAATCCACTAGTACATCATTATGATTGAACATTATTACACCAGATGCTCCGTCTACTTTCTCTTTTATAGTCTGCCTCTCTAGTGTTACATCCAAGGTTTCCCAGTTTTCCAAATATGTAAACAACTCAATATTGACAAACTGGTATTGTGTGAATGAGGTATCCCAAGTTACAGTGATACGTGACAAGTCATAATATTCGAGAGTCACTGGAGCCACAACATTGTCTATGTTACCTTGAAACACAAAATAGAATTTATTTAAATTCAGTTTTTGTATTATAAGTAATACAACGTTTAGTCCAATTATATATTATTGGTGTTTACATTAAGTTTAGTTTACAAAGCATTTACCAAAGCGTTGTGGTGACATATAGAAATGTTACCATCATAAGCAACACGCCGCTACAATCTATGAGAATTATAGTTTGCGTCTTGTTAAGCGTTTCAGTGAACCCGAGAAATGAATAAATAGGCATAGGCTCTCTGCAATTATGGAAATAACAAACATAAATTCTTACTAATGGTGAACTCGCCCGTGAATCCAAACGTTAGCCCGCCATCTATCGACACGTAAAACTTGATTTTTCCGGTCTGAAATAAGATGGGCGTCACACATTCAGCTTTTAAAGCGCCAAGAACTACTCCTTGAGTTTCAGGTCCAGTGTCGGGATTAATAAATTTACAGGTGATATTGTGTTCGATATGGAAACACGGTCCTTGAATGAGAATACGATCTCCGCCGAGCATCGATCCAGAACATGGAAACACAGTGACCGTCCCGGTGACTAAAATAAGATTCAATGAACAACTGAGTTAATAACAGTTTATTCGTTTATCAAAAACAGTTCGGCTTACAAGTATTGATATAACCGTCATCATTATTGCTGTGTGTAGAAATCTTCTTTATAGTGTGGAAGTAATTTTATCTGAAGGAAGAATGTGTCAACATATTAAATCCAGTATGGAACTCTTTTCTATTGAAACATTGTCAGTATATTATGTAGAAAAACAATTTTATACAGAAGAGAAAGCAAGCTGCACATACACAATTATATCACGTAAAAAATAGGCTATACTTCTTCAATAAACCACATAATATTATTAGATTAGAAAAGGACATTTTCAGACACAACTCTTATTAACAGCTATATCTTTAACCATGAAGCAGGCTAGATCAGCGCAATTTTAAAGGCCCGCACAAGCCTTAAGTGGGGCACTCACTGAGCCCGTGATTTGTAGGCCGACACTACTTTCAACTTTGAGGTCAGAGATTCGAAACCCTTGCTGTGGCAGCTGCTTTTCCCTTGGGCAAGGCACGTTATCTACGTTAGTCTCTCTCTACCCAGAAGTAGGCTATACGCTGGGAAGGTAAAACGCCAAGCGAAGAGGACGGGCCCTCCTGCCTGTGAGACCAGAGGTTTCGATTTTTTACATTTACCTTACGTATATTATCTTGTGGGGGTTTTTTTTCTTCTTCTTCTTCTTCTTTTAGTGCGAACTTGCACAATTTTTTTTTTTATCAAAATTACACTACAACATGAATTGAATATATTTGTATATAATATACCTTTATCTGTGCAACCATTTTCAGTGACTTTCTCAACGTCGGTTCGGAATACCCAACGTCCAATTACTCCAACGTTTGTCGTCTCCTCTACATCTACAATCGATGCGTTTCTTGATCCAGGCACCGAGTAGAAGGTTATACCGTTTCCAGCATTAAATCCGACCTACCAATAGCATGACAGTTTACTTGAAAAGTATAGCGTGATAATAATTATGCATATAAATGTGGCCTATAAAACAATTGTTATGCTTGGCACCTACAGGTAACGACATACAGACGTCGATTTATTACATCAAATTATTAGTGTTGCGCAACTTCTTCAATTAATTGCGCCTTCTAAAAGTGGAATTTTTAGTGTTTTCAACAAACAGAAATGTTTAAAATTTTATTAATATGAAGTTTACTGTTAACGATTAAAACACCTTGTTGAAGTAAATTTATGTTTTTCTCTTATTTGTTTTTTTGTATTTTGAATATAAATCCGTACGTACAGGTAACGACATACAGACGTCGATGTATGACATCAAATTATTAGTGGTGCGCAACTTCTTCAATTAATTGCGCCTTCGGAAAGTGGAATTTTTAGTGTTTTCAACAAAGAGAAATGTTTAAAATTTTAATAGTATGAACTTTACTGTTAACGATTAAAACACCTTGTTGAATTAAATTTATGTTTTTCTCTAATTTATTTTTTGTATTTTGAATATAAATCCGTACGTACAGGTCTACACAGTTAATTATTTACACTTGTTTTGCCATCAATAACTTGCCACTATACTATTTCCGCTCTCACTTGCTTACCACTGTGGAAGGACTAGTGCTCTCTGAAATCTCTGGCTCTACTTCTATGGTAATAATAATGGTCATTTATAAAGTGAATTTTGCTCACAATCACAAAGCGCTTATAATATGCACATAGGAACCAGAATCCACTTAAATACAGATTATTTAGCAACAATGTTTACTACGATTAAATCGAACAATAAATTTCAATTCCCACTGAATAGCATGTGTTGAGCACCAGCGGATACTTGAGTATAGGATTCAACACTAGTCTCCAAGCAGAAGCTTGGTAGTCTAGTAGTTATGGCGCCAGGCTAGTTACCTGGAGGTCATGGGTTTGATCTCCACCGATTCACCAGCGATTTTTTTTCTCGCAAGTATTTAGAAACTTACTGAGTATTTCGTACGATAACACGTCAGATAGTGCAAAAAACAAACTCCTGTGATATTTTCCTGACGAAAACTTACATCCAAATATAATTGTAGTAGACACATCGATTTCATAATTTTGTAACCTGTTTGTCTATAAACAGGGCGGATTCTACATTTATATTTGTACAGTGTTGTTTGTATAGCAGTTTTTAGTTGACTTATCGATTTTAGAATATTGCAACCTGTTTGCCTAATACCAGGCCGGATAAGATACTGAACTACCTTAAGCTGGTCTGATATTTATATAGTAATTTTAGCCTCCTTTTCATCCAAGTCAAAATCCTGTAACCAGTTCGCATACAACCAAGGTGGATTTTACATTTACAATTACCTAGCAACTAGTACTTTTGTTCAGCTGTTTGGTTGGATAGTAATTCAAGATGTCTTTTAAAAGTTTAAAAGGCATGCATGTGTTTCTTAATCCATTCAATGTCTAGAAGGTTACACCGTTCTCAGCAGTAAAGTCGACCTATCAATATTCAGATACTTTATTCGAAAAGCATAGCGTGATTTTATTTTCATATGTAATTTATTTAACCAGGATAAAATCACATCCAATGAAGAAAGCTTACAACTACAAAGAGTTAATACACTTAACTGCATGGTTATTAACAGTGGTCCTTGACGCAGACATGACAAGTTATGACAAATGATAAAATCAATTCCTACAATAATAATTTAAACAAATAAACAATCAAACAATTGTATAGGCATACAGTGAACAAAAATCAATCAAGTATAAACAAATTACGAAATAATTAAAAAGTATTTTTAAGATTTTAAAATTTAAAGTTCAGGATAAAATATTTAGTAAGTATTACTAAAATACTGAGAATATCTAGGAAGTTTACAATACAATAATAATTTCAAAGATAATCTTAAAAAAAGGATTAAAAATTCGTTTTAAAATAATTTTCCTTTAAGGATTTTAAAAAACCCAGAGTTGACGTAGTTTCTTGCATTTCAATTGTAGTTCGTTCTAAATTTTAGCTCCCGAAATTTTAAAGGATTACTTCATTTTAGCAATGTTTGTCAATGGAGTACCGTACCATATAAAACTAGTTTGCCTTCCGTATATTTATGTCATGCCTATCACAGCTTAATTCGATCCTATTCGTGAGTCGAGTTGGTGCATTACTATGTATTAGTGTTGAATGAGGAAATGTCCACGTTGTTCAAGAGTTAGGCCTATATATATACTATATATATATATACACTGCCAAATTAGAGAACTAACAATATCCTTGCCACGACTATTTATATAATCAAAATTACGTGTGGCAATTCTAGTACATCTGTGTGGTAGTTGTTTAATAGAGTTCTTATTGATTTTACTCGTGTTTTCACCAGGCTGACAGAGCATAATCACTACATGGTTGAATTATAGTTTTATATCATTTTTCGATGAGGTTTTTGTTTAAATTGGAACTGATCTTCATAGAGTGGTAACGTTGTATCCCGGCCCATAGACTTATACTGAGGTGTGGCACATGCTCTTTCCATGATAATGTATAATAAATCAGAACACCAATGTATCTGATTGAACTAACGTGTTCAAGTTCCTTATCATTTAGATAAATTGTCAATTTTTTTTATTGTTACTGCTATTCACTTTGAAATATTCACTTTGAAATATTTTAATTTTAGTTGAATCGTCGATTTTAGAATCTTGTAACCGGTTTGCCTATAACTAGAGCAAATTCTGCATTTAAAATACCTGCATATTGGTACTGTGTTGTTTGTATAGCAGGTTTTCGTTGACACTTTTTAGACACTTTATAACCAGGGCGGGTCACATTTTTAATATCTGATATTTACTTAGTAATTTTAGCTTCCTTTTCATCAAGTCAAAATGTTTTAACCAGTTCTCATATAACAAAGGTAGATTTTACATTTACAATTACATAAAAACTAGTCCATTTATTCAGTTGTTTGAGTAGTAATTTGAGATGTTTCTTTTTAAAGATGTAAGTTAAAGCAAAATTAGAGCAGGGCTAGCCAACTCTAGATTCTCAATAAGCAACACAAATAATTATATAAGAATCAAAATTTGTTTTCCACTAGAGATCAACAGTGTAATGTCCTTTTAATCATGTTTCAAAGTAATAGTTTTGGAAACGGTCACCAAATCGTGTATTTAACGTTATTTTGATAGTTTATTATATCAAACAATGTATGCACAAATAACTTTGGAAGGCAATTTCTCAAAATCATGCTTATTTATTTTTATCTTGATTCTAAGAGTGCTGTACTTTGACTTTCTAATAACTTCGGCTTCACATGTTCAATGACTTCTCATTTTAAAGATTACATACTCAAGTATCAGAAAATACAAATAATTTGAATTTTAAATTTTAGCTACAACTTAGATATTTTGCCATAAAATGCCTCTATTGCGTCAAATGCGTCGACATGACGAGAGCCTAGGCTACTACTCAGCATGACGAAATATGTTCATGTCACAAATGTTTTATCTAAAGACTGGTTTTCATAAATTGCTACAGTGTTTTCACTGCAATCGGTATACAACTGATCGTGGACGCAGAAAGCTATCTTCTTTTTATTAAATCAATATCGTTTTTTTTTTTTTTTGTTTTTTTTTGTGTTTCAATTTGACTTTCTAATAACTTCGGCTTCACATGTTCAATGACTCGTCATTTTAAAGATTACATACTCAGGTATCTGAAAATACCAATGATTTGAATTTTAAATTTTGGCTACAACTTAGACATTTTGCTATAAAATGCCTTTATTGTGTCAAATGCGTCGGCGTGACGAGAGCCTGCTAGTACCAAAATTAGATACAAGGAGAAAGAGAGACTACTTCTAAGAAGACAGGTGATTAACCAAAATAATTCCCATTATAAATACCTGGGCTGCTGTACCACCTAGACCGGTATACCTGGAACCACCACTCGCCGTGCCAGTTGTCCACAAAATATTTCCATAATGGAAAAAAGTGAATGAATGGTAGCCATCTGTCACAAGTATCGCCTGGAAAGTGTTTCTCTGTAAAACAGAATAGATCAGGTCAGGCGCGGATCCAACCCATCGCACCAGTCGCCGTGGCGACGGTTAGGGGTGGGAGAAAATTAGGTCTAAAGAAACTGAAGTACAACATGATCATGTGAGTTTCAAATCGCACCTACAGTAATTCAGTTCATATATACATTTGTAATTAAAAATGCCGTAAATAGCGTATATGTTTTAAATTCCTGAAATTGTTTGAGCGTCAGGGGGGCTGTGTCATTCACCTCACCCCCGTGGAACCCAAATGTGCGATAGTCAGGGTAGGCACTGGATCCCCGTCTGTAGGTAAAAGGACATTAACAAATGTTCACAGATAATACTGCTCGTATCTTAATGCTATACAGCATGGCTTAAAAATAGCCACTTACTTGTAGGCTTACCATTGAATACACAAGGTGAAAATCTCCATCTTGAAACAAATATTACAAATACTTAAGAATCATTGAAGAATCACCTTACACGAGGAATCTTACTTCATGACTCGTTTTTACTCAACAGCTTTTTAAAGATAGTGCGGACGAACTCGGTCAAGACTGTTTCGAAGATACGAATTTATCCACTCGTCTTGACGACTTACTGAGTTTTTTTTTCTTCAGTCACTTCGTCCACAAGTTGTAATATTTTGATCAATATTGCTAGGTTGAATAATGGAATATGTAGGTTTTCCTCTTAACTAATTTTACTTACATTGCCATTTTTGAGACATTTTTATTCAGTGGGTAAAATAACTGAAGATATTTTAAATTGGTTAATGAACTAGAGCATAAATAAGATAGTTGTAAAAACGCATGGAAAGGCTATTGTTGTTTTTATTTGAATCAACGTCAATATTTACTCTTTGTCTCGACATTATTATTAAAAGTAGGATGAACGCGGCACGTCTGATTTTTACATTGAATCTAGGGCTTTAAATGTTCAAATGTATAGTATTCAGAGTTGCATTTAAATTCCAGGAGATGTCCGATTTTGCAGAGGTACAGTAAGTTCAAACACCACCTTTGAAAATGTAACTGAATTCAATCGTTATTCATTTTCTTGATTATGGTCTGTATGGAAGCTTGTAAATAGTCCCGTGTGGTTAATCCACTTAGCGGAGGGAGAATATGTTTTAATCTAATACCTTCAAATTTCAAAACGGGTGTGGGTCCTATTAAACTGAATATTGTTTGTTTATTTTATATCTAACAGGATAAAAACGTGTATCATATTTGGGGGACGTTTGTAACTGGGAAATTATACCTCTGGGCACCTTATTGTTGTAAAATATATAGTTTAACACAGGTCCGTCAATAAACACTGTAAGGTCAATCAAGATTAAGAAACTTCTTATAGTCAAATGAAACGACCCACACACACACACACACACACATACACACGGCATACAGGATAGGTTGCTTTGTAAGAAGTGCATGAGGCTGATGAGATAGTACTAGACGATGCTTTCTTTCTGTTGTCAACTGTTGTGGATTTAGTTGACATTAGCAAGGATGATAGTAATGGATATTGGCCTTTGCATTTTTCACCTTAAGTATCCGTATAATAGTTTCTTTCCACACAACAACGACTTTGCTTAGATTTATTGAGACATGCTGTTTAGGGGCTGGAAGTTCAAAATCAAAGTTCCTTGATCAGATACAGTGAGATATCATCTGGAGGAAAAGATTTCTTACAGTTGTTTCTTTGAAGTTATTATGTAACAGAAAGTGGTGGTTTATCACTAGGGAGATACGTTCTTACGATTTCAGTTGTTAACTCTGCTGACATATGTTAAGCCTGGTTTCCTGTCGACGTAAGAAGGCAGATTTACTTACGATTACGTCGTTTTATCGTAAGAAAATGCGATTTGACAGGAAACCTATTGCGACTGGTGCGTTGTGAAATCGACGTAACGTAACCAAAATCGTCGAAAAACCGTTTTGGACAGGAAACCGACGTATTGAATTTTCATGTGATACGTCGATTTCCACTATTTGACAGGAAACCGCGATTTAGTGACTTTTTGATGAATGAACTCGCATACGTTGCGTTGCAAACGATTCTTATGAAAAGTTGACTCCAAGTCAACTTTTCATAAGAAACGTAAGCGGAAACGTATGCTGTCTGTACATCTTGCCTATACAACAACATTGTCGACGAATAGAACTCTCATTTTGACTTACGTATTTATAATAAAATGGTTAAAAAGAAGCATATCCTCCATTTTTTTCAAACACAATGATAGCCATGTAAAATCTTATATAGATTTTGTTATGGTCATGAATGAGGATTGCAATTAGCTTTAATAAATTACATTTATTATACAAAAATAACTTATAAAATATAAAAATAATATATAAAACATTATAATATAAATAAATAAATAAAATATAAAATGTATAGGCCTATTGCCAGTTGGAATATTTTCTGTTAATTTCAATAAACAATTTTTCAAGTGTATTTCATTCTTATATTTAATTCATGTTTATATTAAACAACCCGAACTTTATAATTTTAACATTTAAGTCATGTTTTCTGTATAACTGTATATCTGGAGATAAGATTATTCTGTCATATAGGCCTAATTAATATTTTGAGAACGAAACACTAAAATCGATAACGAGAAAGTTAGCAAATCCAGATTTGTAGGCCCTTATACTGTACTACCCCATACAAAAAAATTCTATAGAATTCTATCAAAAAAAAACTATAGAATGTCTATAGCATAATTGTTTAGAAAATCTATAGAAAATTCTATAGAAATAACTATAGAAGCCCACTATAAAAAGTCTATTAAAAATCTATTAAAACTATATTTAAAATCTATTAAAACTCTATTAAAAATCTATTAAAACTATATTAAAAATCTATTAAAAATATATAAAAAAACTATAAAAAATTTATAAAAACTCTATAAAAAATATATTAAAACTATATTAAAAGACTTAAAAATCTATAAAAATTATATAAAAAACTATGAAAATTCTATTAAAATTCTATAGAAAGTCTATGAAAATTTTATATAAAAAAATCCCTAAAAAACTATAGAAAATCTATAAACAATTTTATAAAAACCACTTAAAAATCTATAAAAATTATATAAAAAAACTAT